AGCAATCAGTCCCTCCAGCAAGGCCATCAACTCTGCCTCCGCTGTCGACAGGGTGACAAAGGGTTGACGTGTCGTTTGCCACCCCACTGGTGTTCCTCCAATAAAGACTGCGACGCCAGAGATGCTCTTCAGCTCCGATGACCCATAGGAGGCATCCGTGTAGATGTCAACGTTCTGGATCGTGCCCTTCTCATCGCCCTTGATCTCATCTCCGTCCGTCCCAGCGTCAGCAGTCATCACCAGGACCTCTCCAACCGTCTCTCTGAGGTGTGCTCGGAGCTGGCTGCCGATCTTGATCACCTGCTTCGGCCTCTTTGATGCCCACTGGGACAGAATCCCCACACCCAACGACAGGTCTGGACGCGTTCTCCCAGCCACCCATAGCAACTCCCCAGTTTCTTTCTGTGCTCGGAGGACCTGCTCGGCCGTGGGGTGTTCCTCTTCCTCTGGGGTTCGAACTTGGCCCAGTGCACTTCGATCCTTCTCATCGTACTCGTTGAGTAGGTTGGTGATGTAAGCCTGCTGGTGGATGACATAGTCCATCCCTCGCTTTTCAATCTCCATCCCCAGGAAACGCATGGGCTCCTGGCCCTCCACCACCCATGAAGGCTCGCCGATCTTCCAGTGCTCCCTGACCTGGTCGATGAACCCTTGGATGATCTCCTCTTCACCCACCATCAGCACGTCATCCACATATGTCGCCAGCGCTCCCTTGGTGATCCACGTCTCCTGACCATCAAGCTCCTGGACCAGCCAGATGTCCGCCTGAGGTGTCGACTGCACTCGCACCTGTCATCCTTCCCTCTCCCACTTGAAGGCCTTGATCTTCCCATCTCGATGGTCACACCAGTCACGAGGAGACGTCACTAGCCCGTAAAGGGCCTTTTTGACCAGCCATAGTTCCTTCGGGTCTTGAAGCACCTCCGCCTCCTGGAAGATGCGTGGTGGTTGAACCACGACTGTTCCTCTGTCATGAGCTGCTGGTGCATTGAGAAATGCCGTCTTGACATCGATGGTGCTAAGAGCCCACTGGTTGATCGATGCCAACTTGATCAACATTCTCACTTCAATTCCACTGGCTCCTGATGCAAATGTGGATTCGGAGCTCTTGGCATTCATGAAGTTGCCACATGCCACTCCTCTGCACTTGTGTCTCCCAGTTCCCGCCTTCCGGCTGAAGATGGCCTTGGCAGGCACCATGTCGAAGTCCTTCCCCAGAGCCTTTGCTTCCTCCTTCAACTGATCTGCCTGCCTCTGGCCGATCGCTTCGACTGCTTCGGACTCCTTGATCAGGGCGTTGTACTCCTCGAGCATCGAAGGTCTCCACTCCTTCAAGTTCTTCCGGACTTCTGCCAGTCCCACCATCCGGGTCTGCAGGAACTCTTGCGGATCTCCCGCTGCCTGCTCGGCCTCAACCAGCTGTTGTGCTTCTTCTCGACGCCCTTCTCTCACTGCTTCCTCGACGATCTCCTCGACCTCCGTGGTCAGCATCTTTAAGAACCTCTCGTTCGGGTACCGGGGATGGGTTGCCACCTCACCGGGTTTTTCATCCATCCCCTGAGTTCCAACTCCTCCAGTCCCATTCTTGGACTCCCCCAGGTAGGCTTCTGGGTCATCAGGCTGTTCCAAAGCCGTCACCACCGTCCTCGGATGTGCCGCCCTCGAAGCTCTATGATGAAGGTAGACCTGTCTCAACCACAGCAGGGTGTCGTCCTCCACCTGCTGCTTCAAGACCGGGTCAAGATTGGGCAGTGTGAATCGCCCAGGGCCTTCACGTTCTCGAAGCGGCGGAGGTCCAGGCTGTCTGTATCGTAACCGGCTCATCGTCCTGCAGGGCGGACCTCCCAACAGAGCTCGAAGAGTGCCACCATCGGCGATCTCCAGCAGGTAGGCAAAGACATCGTCCCGGAGGATGTTCATGCCTGGGTCAATCACGGTGTCCACACAGAGGACCGCTCTCCCTTCCGACTCCAGCTCTCGCTGCCAGTACTTCTTTGTGTCTCCACTAAAAAGGTGGACCACCACCTCCCTGGCCTTCCTGACCCTTCGCCGCTCGTGTCGGTTCCACGGGAGAGCCTCCCCCGTCCACCCCACCTTCGGCAGGATCCTCACCAGTAGCTGAAGAGGGACCTCAGGGAATAGTTCTCGCAGCTCACGAAGATGGTGGATCTCTTCTGCCCCCAACTCCTTCTGCTCCTCCTCTCCCTTAAGCACCGCCAACCTCGCTCGCTCCCTCACCATGCTCCTCTCGATCTCCATGATGAGCTCTCGTCCAAGACCCTCGGCAACAGAGCGTGAACCGGTCCTTCTCCCAATAGGCCTCATAGCCAAGCGAAATCAGGACTCCCAGGGGCACGATGGTCTGAACCTCATTCTGGGTGAGGAGAGTCTTTGTCCAGGGGATCTGCCGGAGGACGACGGACCCTTCTGCGAGTTCTACTCGTACCTCCTGGGCCCTTGGCCACTCCTCCTCCGACTCAGCTCTGCGAAGACAGTGGGTGGCTCCTCCGTCTAGAAGTGCTCGATCGTTGGTCTTCACTTCGAGACTGCTCAACTTGATGGCCTTGACAGCCGATCGACCCTCCCCAGCGGGCCTCAAGCTCTTCAGTAGGGTCGTGGCCTCCGACAACAAGGCCTGAACTTCGCCCGAACTCGATGCGGGCTTCTCCGTCTTCTTGTCATCAACAGCGGGATCAGGAGGGATCTGCTGAGGCTCCAAGTCCATCTCTTTCTCCCCCTTCTTGGTTCCGGAGCTTCTTTCGATCTCCTTCTTGAAGGTCTTCACCTGCTTGTCACCCTCGTTCTTCATCCTGACAGCAGGGCACTCTTTCTTGGTATGCTTGGTCGATGAGCGGCCGAAGCACCGGCCTTTCTTCTCCAAGCTTCCCCACTCATGCTTGAACCGGCACTCCTGTCCCTTCCGGCAGCCATCTTCCGACCCCCAGAACCGACAGACCCTCTCTTCCGGCTTGCCGTCGGCCTTGGACTTTCCGGCCCCTTTCTCACCCTTGTCCTCGAATGCCGCAGTCATCGCCTTGACTTTCGTAGTCGGTGGTGCTGCCTTGACCTCCGGGATGGGTTTCAGTTCACTGATCGCCAGCGACTCCGCCTCTGCTGTGAGCATGTCCGAAAAGTTCAAGACCGTCTCCAAATTGGGAGTTACGTCGACTCCCAAGGTTGCCCGTGTCGAAGACATCCTGAATGCCACCTGACTCGACGTCCGTGCCACCAACTCCGACATTTTGTCCAAGGCCCCCAGCAACAGCGTGGCATCAGGCGTCGCGATGTCCAGCTCCTGGGCTCGTCTCAGACTTCTCCTCCAACCTCGAAGTGCCTCCACCACCTCGTCCATGGTTTGAGGAGCCTTCGGTTCTACCAACTGTCTCAACAGCCTCGATCTCTCTGCCAGGCCACCCGGTTGATATCGCCTGAATAGGGCATACAGCACCTCCACCGAGCTTGTAGTCCGGCTCGCAAGAACTTCGGCCTTGATGTTCTGCGGAGCTGCATTGATCAGCATCAACTGCCCTCGCTGCTTTAGCCGACTCCAAACCCCAGAGCACTCCGGAGGCACTCGAGGCCTGATATACAGTCGCTGGACTGGTTCCGCTTGAAGCCATTCCCTATAAACGATCATGGCCAAGTTCAGCACCTCCTCCCACCACCTCCAACTCGTGGCGCTCAAATCCTTCATCGTTGGAGTGATGAGCTGAATCCAGTCCCCCAAAATCAGCGACCCAAGATCTCCTTCTCGAAGGTCCTGCAATGGTGGCAGCTCGACAGACCTGATCACCTCCCCCCAGTTCCCATCCGACGAACTGGTGCCAAGTTGCTGCAGCACTGACTGCGCCGCTTGCTCCAATGGAGAACCCGTCATGAGCTCCCGCATTCCCTCACCAGATTCTTGATGTCCTGCATCTTCACCTCGTTGGTGTCCGGGCTGTAGTCCCCACCCTTGAACTCCCCAAGAACCTGGCACTCCGGGTACAGTTGAGCTTCGTTGATCTCCATCTCTCCTCATAGTCGCCTGCTGCTTCGCCCCCGCTCCACCACCCGGGAACTCTGGGATCTCCGCATCGGCCCATGCCTGACTAGGGTCCCGCTTTCTCCCACGATCCGGCGTCACTGGGGGCGGTGCCTTCGGCGGAGAGGGAGGTGGCGTAGTAGTCGGTGGTCTCGGTCGATCTTCAATGGCCTTGGCCGGCTTGGCTTCCACCGTCTTTCGAAGTTCCGCCACCTCTTTCTTCAAGGCTGCGTTTTGGGCCATCATTGCCTTCAGCAACTCCTGGATGTCCATCGAGATTCCCCTTCCTTCTTCTCCAGGCTCCACCCGTCCAGAAGCCGAGGTGCCCTCGTGGTACCCAGTCTCTGAATCAGCCGCTGGCAGCGCTGTAGGCCGCATAGCCCGGAGCATGACCTCGTTCTGAAGCCGTTCACTCCAGAAGGGGTTGGTCACCACCTTTCCCTGTAGTCCCTTCCCCTTGCCTTCCTTTTCCCGTCCTTCGCCTCGTCGAGCCGGGCCATAGACCACCGGAGGCCCTCGCGGACCGCTGCTTCCGGGCAGTGCCAATCCTCCTTGGCGCTGGTCATGGACCCCTTTTTTTCGGAGTCCCCGTGGACTCTTCCGCCGGCAGCGACCGAGACGCCATGGGGACCAGCACTCACTCCGGTGAGGTGGACTTCCTACTTCCTATGGCAGGGTCGTTGGGCTCATAACCCGCCAAACACAAAGCGGCTGCTTTTTCGCCGCTCTTGAACAAAGAAAGGGCTTTGGTTTCACCCCAACTTGGTCAACTTTGGTACACTTCTTGATTTGAGTGCGTGTTCTCGCACCCTCAACCTTCTTTCAAAAACTGGGTACACTTCTCTATTTGTGCACCGGCAGAAACATCTATATAGCGCAACTTGGAACCGTCAAAGACACATGCCTTGATTTTTTGGGGTCGAGAGGGAGAGGTTTTTCTTGTGTCAGCTGCGGTGGGTGCCGCACGATCCGCCAGACCCCGAGAGTCCGCTGGGCAGCTCTCCCAACAGGTTCGGAGCTCGACTTCGCCACAAGTCGGTGGCGATGAGTTTCTTGGGGGACACTGATCGCTAGTGACTACATTACCATTAAAAACAGGGTTCAAACTTTAAGTATATAAATTGCGCTCAGACAGGAACAATTGACAATCGAAGTCACTTGAAGTATTTCAGGTTTGATGGGCAGCTGCAGGAAGAGCTCAGCGAGGGCCCCCAAGGTGCCACAGCGAAGCCGTGGGAAGCTGTTCATCTTGTCCGATGGAACTGAGGGACCCTGGGTGAGGCCCGTGGATGACCACTGGCAGAGTTCTATAAAAGCGACTTGGAGGCCATCGCTATTAGGTTGGAGGCCATCGCTGTCTGGTTGGAGGCCATTTCTTTTAGGTTGGAGGCCATCGCTATTAGGTTGGAGGCCATTTCTTTTAGGTTGGAGGCCATCGCTGTCTGGTTGGAGGCC